AGAAACCATGGGTAACGCATAACTGCTTGGTCAGCACTCAGTCTGAGACCAGGTAGCTAAAGTCTGAGAAATGAGCAATGGGTAGAGTAAATAGAGCGAGTCAGTCTCTAAAGCAGTGCTTCTTAACCTTTCTAGGGCCGAGACCCCTTGGCAAAATTTGCTCTGGGGAAAAAGAAAAAACCTCCCAAAATCTGAGCAAGATTTTGTTAAAAAAAAAAAAAGGAAACCCTTGTAGCCGAAGCCAACTCAAAAGGGAAGAGCCACAAACCAATAAATGAAGGTTAAACAAAAGAAATACTGATTAGCTGGCAATACGGGAATGTGTGGCTACATATTGTCTATTAAACTCCCCCCACAAAAAAAATCTTCTGGTCTAATAAGGAACAAGCATCTGAATGGATTCCATCAGGAATTTGTGAATATATGCAAATGCAGAGTGATTTTAATCCAGAATCTGACAAAATCTTCCATTGGATTTGGTGGGAGCCATACAAGTCTTCTGTTGGGTTTGAGAACAGGTTTAAGTAAAAACTAGGGATGTTCAGATACCAGTGCAGATACTTGGCATTTTCATGGGGACTATCAGGGTTGCAGCTGGGAACTGGCTGGTGCTCCACCACTGTCCTGAAATCATTAGTCTGTATTGTTTTAGAAAAACTGTCACATGACTATAAACAAAAATGTATCAGTACTCATATCTGAGTACTTGGACAAGTATCAGTACTTGAAAAAAATGGTATCGGTGCATCACTTATTTACATAAAAAAAAAAATCATACATTAAAGACAGGAATGCACAAATCCCAGGCGCTCTGTATGCTCCTTAAAAATGACAGCTGCCTCCTAACTTTTGAATCTAGTCCAGTAGCTGGAAAAGTATCTGTACATGTACCGAGTACGGTACTTGGTATCTGAACATCCTTAGTAAAAACCTTGATAATGTTCTACCAAAAGGAATGGGAATAATAAATCCCTGCCAAAGAGCTGGAATAATAACACCCGGATCCAATAGACCTTGAATTTCACAAAAAAGGCTTGTCCGGCGCTACCACGCCATGACACAAAGAACTAAGCAGGAACATGAAAATATATTCTGAAATTTAAGTTTCCCACATAGCCACAAACTCCATCAAGTGTGTCTTCCCCCTTCACCTCCGCCCCCCCATCTCCATGGCCCTGTTCCAGACAGAACAGGAACCCACAGGTTAATAGTGGCCTGACCAGTAAATGATAAAGAATGAAGCATAAGCAGAGACCAGACACAACCTGCTTCATGATAACCAGAAACTTACAAGATTTAACTTATCTGGAATGTTCTCTGTTATGTTGAGCAGCTAGAGAGACTGCCAGGATTTAAAAGAACTATAGGGTGTTTTCCCCCCATTAGTTCTCTTTAGGGTCACGAGAGGACATATACTAGCGGTCTCCTGTGACCCAAATCTCAGTTTATCGCGGGCAATACTGTGAGCGCCGCAGCCGGGATGGATCCAGACATTACTGTCTGGTTCCACCCAGCAACTTGAGTGACAGCTGGCTCTGCCCATTTAGAGGCAGATCCAGCTATGCCCGCCCCCACCCGTCCATTCCTCCACTCAGTGCTGGAGGATCGGAGAGGATCCCTGCGGGGAGCCGTGACTGGCAGTCACCGTTCACTGCAGGGAGACTATCGAGAAGTGATCAGATCGGTGCATGTTTCTGCTCACTTCCCGATTGATAGAGCCGACCGGTAACAGCTTCTTTGTCACACGTCGGCTCTATGAGGATGAGTGGAAATCACTCACCTCGTAGATCTCCTTCAATAATATCAATAGCTTCAATGAGAAAAATAAAAAAAAATAAAGCAGAAGAGATGAGCAAAAATTGGCAGGTGTGAGGTGTTATGTCCTTAAAGTGACAGGCTTTTAATTTGTGTCCATTTCTCCTATGGCAGCAGCATATCCCTATGTCTCAGAATTCTTCAGAGCTGTGCCTTTTGGTTGATATGAGAGAGAGAGAAAAAAAGGTTTGCTTTTGCATTTAGTTAAGGTTTAACAGGATAGTGTACAGAAAAATGCATCACAAAGTAAAAGAAACCCAAAAAAAGCATATTTTCCTTTTTATTGTAATATGCAATGTAATGCTTAGGCACGTTGCATGGGAGACTACGCCTAAAACTTGTTGGCCTCTGTGTAGAGTCTCCCTCAAAATACCTGTCTAGGAGAGGTCTCACAACCGATAAGAATCTATTCAGAAAATTAGACAGATTTACATCTACAAAAAAAGGTGTGCAAGAGGTGGGCAACGCTTGTGTCAGACTGGGAACAGAACATTGCTTTTCCTGCTTCAAGAAGGCGAACTGGAGGAATATAGAAACATTATAAATTACATAGAATTAGCTTTTTTTGTAATCACTACCTATGTACAAACCAGTTTTTGACAAAAGAAAAAAAAAAAAAAAAAAAAACAAAAAAAAAAAAAAAACGGTTTTTAAACTTTATATAAAAAAAAAAAAAAAAAAGAATAAAATAAAAAATAAACTGGTTTTAAACTTGTATATAAAAATAATTCACAGATCGGCACAGAAAACATCTGACATGCAAATTTAGGTTTGATCTGGATAATAAAACAAAATGTATGATAAAAAGGCTTTCCCTGCTGTCATATGGGAGCAGCACAAAATTAAAAGTCTAAAAAAAAAAAATGTTTAAAAAAAAACCCCCCATCCCAGTTGAAAAATTGGCAGGCGAGCAAATCTTGCGGCACTGAAACTTTTTCACCTGCGACTTATGCAAACCAAGACAGAACGTATGGCTTTACATTAACAATCTGTCAACTGTAGTAATAAATACTTAAATCTACTAATAAACATTTGAGTTGAATAAAAAAAAATTAAATTACAGCAACAGATAACCAGATAAATTTGCTGCAAAATTAGAAACACTGGAACAAAAATACCCATATTTGGATCGCTTTTGGTAACCTAAATACAATTACATTTACAGGAAGAGTTCTATCAAAGAATATTTTTGTTTGAGAGGAAAACCAACTATTGTACAAGGTGGAACAAAAAATAAAGTTAAATTCATGAAACTGGTAAATACTTTGGTCACACTAATTGTCAAATAGTTATGCTTTCAAATACATTAGATTTTTTTTGTATACCCTTTTATAAAACTATTTTTACAACCATTTTAACCATAGTATCACTATTACTGAAGTGGTGAGTTCTTAAGTCATAGGGCACTGGTTTTGCTTAGAATACAATACAATATAAACATACACAAAAAGTCTCGTTTTGCAATGTGCAATATTTTTTTTTTTTTTTTTACGCTTTCAAGTCTGTACACCTTAAAATCTAAGAAAAGAAAAAATAAAATGTTGCTGGTCCTGATCCCTTGCAAAGTTAGTGCAGCAGTGACTGGCGCCTGCAGGCCTTTGCCAATATCCTCAAGTAACACCACTTAGAATCCCAACGGATATCAGTCTGCAATCTTCCACTAACGTTCGGTATCGCACATCATACTGGGCCGTTTGCAGGAGCTCCGTCTAGAAGAATTTGCTCAGGTGTCCTAGAGGAGCCAGAAAATAACAGATGGTTAGACTGGAGTAGGGTATAAAGACAAATCAAATTGAACAGGAAATATGGGCACAAGCAATACTTGGCTGAGCAAACTAGTCTGAAATACAGGTCGTGCATGCAGATAACCAGAAAATATGGTAAAATGGAACCTTTGAACATTGATATAAAGTTGAAGTGAAAACACCAAACTTAAGTGTTTAAAGGTTAGAACTAGGGATGCACCGATACTTTGAGTACCAGTGCCGAGACTTGGCATTTTCATGGGACCTACCAGGGCTGCAGTTGGTTGCAGCTGGGACCTGGCTCTCCACCACTATACTGAAATCATTAGTCTGTATTGTTTTAGAAAAACTGTCACATGACAATAAAATGTATCAGCGTTTGTACTCGCAAAACTGGTATCGGTGCATCCCTTTATTTATATTTATAAAAACAAAATCATACAATAAAACAGATGTACAAATCCCAGGAGCTCCGTGTGCTCCTTACAAATGACAGCTGCCTAACTTTTGAATTTTTCTCTAGTCTAGGAGCTCGAAAAGTATCGGTACATGTACTTGGCATCAGTGCATACCTAGTTAGAACCTCTGCCAAATTATATTGCTCTCTATCCCCATTAAAGGATGGTGACAATTTCACCAGGACATGAAAATGGGGAAATCTCCAAATAGGGACAAAGCAATAAAAGCCGACAGAACAAAGCCTTCCTTCACTGTATAAGTAAAAGGTTTTATTGGTGCCGGGTCCGTTAGATTGCTCATCCCTGCCTGTTGCAATGACATGTCACTAGAAAAAGTGACAATACAAGAAACTATTGGAAATCTCCTTAGTGAAATAAAGATCCACTTTTGACTGTTGTAATGTAACTGGGCGTCCCCATTGTGGGATTTCCGCTTCTTCACTTTGAAAGAAAACATACCTATCAATGGCAGAGCTGTGCAGAATCGAGAAGCTTTCAGAACAGAAGCTGGGCCACACCAGACAGGCCACAGTAAGAATTTCTTACATAAAACCGATGGAAAAGGAACTATGATCTTTTATAAAAGTGCTGGGGATGGGAGGGAGCAGAAATAGATAAGTGCATTTATCCGTTAAGCGCAGGGGTAGCCAAACTTCTGCACTCCAGCTGTTGTGGAACTACAAGTCCCATTAGGCATTGCAAGATTGACAGCCACAAACATGAAACTTCCCCACAGTTGGCAGGTTGAAGTCGGACTACCCTTATTTTAAAGTCAATGTATGGCCAGGCAGCACATTTACATATCCCTAAGCAGCACTGAAGTGAAGTTGGAAGATCTATAGCCTCTGAACATCAGGTTACCTTAATGCACACACGGTAATGCAAAGCATAGTTTGAATGGACCCATGAGCACATCTCAGTTGGAACTGAGTAAAATAATCACAGGTTCCCAACAGGCAAAGAGGCATACAGGACTAAGTCTTTATGTACGGTATTGCTTGTACTGAGCCTTCATGTAAACTGCCAGCAAAATGTGAATGCAGATATACAGCTCAGATTTCTCAGCTGCAGGCATGTATTTAAAGTGATAGTAAACTCTGGAGTTAAAAATGCATTCAAGTCCCTTAACTATCAAAAATGTATCCAATTTGTATATCACTCAGTTGTAGATCCTCAAAACTCTGAATTGGTGCCGACACCATCCTTCCTTCTGGAAGGTGGCTGTATTTGTTCCCCATGGTCCCTGTGTGTGATGTAAAGTAGCCACTGCTCCAAGCTCGCTCCTGTTACGGACTACAATCTCAATACAAATTAGATTACTAAATGTGAGTTTGTAGTACATCACAGGAGTGATTTTGGAGCAGTGTTTACTTAACACACAGGGACCATGGGGAACAGAAGGGCAGTGCCAGCACCAATCCAGAGAGGATCTAATCTGCAGCCGCGTGATACACAAATAAGATACATTTATGGTAATAGTTTAAGTACCTGAATGCATTTTTAGATTTAACTCCTGCGTTTGTCACTTAAAGCTGGCCATACACTTGTCTTGGTTTTTATTCAGCCCCGAGGCTGCCGACAGGCCTACGCAGTGCTGACTTAGCCAAAATCTGAGCAGGGTATGGACAACTTCTGCTGACCACACGCACTGATGTTGAACTTCAGTGGATTAAAATACAAATTACTAAAATAACAAGCAAAAGGTATGTATACAAAACACAAAAATTGCATGTTCCATGGACTGTTTTAAATAAAAAAAAAAAATTAAAAAAAAATGTGGGGAGGTAAAACATATTGAAGGGAGATCCGGTATAAAAAAGGGAATGTATGAAAAACCTGCACAGTATACAAGAGATACATACCAATAGGATTTCAACACTCTGAAGCCAATAGTGTGCAATGAAGAGGGAAAGGAGGAGAAGCAGGCATAAAAAGAATGCTACTTAGTACAGGTAGTGTTGTGTGGTGTGGACAGAGCTGCATAAATAAAGTACAGTGATCATTCATCGCAGCAACTACAGGTCCCAGTCCCAGAAAACTGACCAGTCAATGTACAGTAAGAATGCACCTCCAAGAATGGACAGAACACACAGCCCAATTATGCATTGATAAAGCAAAGATATTAAGCGTGCATCAAAAGGCTACCTGAACTCCACATTCTATTCCAACCTACCCCCCTTTCCCACCCAATAGCAGACAATCGGGCAGAGTGGGAGTTTATGCATGGTGAGACCATTGTACCTATTGCACTTCAGTGTTGCCAGTCACTAGCAGTAGAGGGAGAGGTATTCGGGAAGTTTAAAGTACAGACAGGACCCTCAGCAGTGGGATTATGCTCGGTCAATGTCCAATGAGCAGCCAGGAAAACTGCAGCACTGCAACAGTGAATACTGGTGTAACCTTACTGGCTTTGCTGCGTTTTGGCTGTGTGAGACTCAGCAAGTGGATGAACAGAAATAGAAAACATTTCAGCAAATTCTACAGTCATTTACTCTTTAGCTGTGTGGCTGGATATCCCATTTCCATGTTTGCTCAGCATGACAACTTTACACACTATGTTAGACTGAGAATTGTAAAGATGAAGAAAATGTTTAAAGGAAATACAAGCGGTTTCTTTGAGCACAGCATATAAAAAAGGAAACCGTGAGCTCCCTCTGCTGGATGGACCAAGAAGAAACATGCACCTTTTTAGGACCATAAAAGAACATTTACAATTTATAACATATACAGTGGTACCTCGGTTCACTAACTCAATTCGTTCCACGATTCTGGTCACAAACCGAATCAAGCTGTGATCAGACTGCAATCTCAACTAGAGGAAGCCACGACCATGTGTCAGAGCAGGGAAGATGGCTGCGGTTGTGTTCATCCCCCGATGCCGAGTTCGCAAACCGAATTGTTCACAAACGGAAGCGTTAGTGAACCGAGGTACCACTGTACACTAAAATGCATCGACTTGAGGTTTTATTTTAAGTTTACTTGGCTTCCTTTCTAAAATCATCCTACATCCCTATGACAGAATTGCTCCAAGTGTGACTATTCTGAAAAAACGGACTCCAGGCAATCTAAAAATTAACCTTTGCCGTGGGGCTACCCCCAACACTGCAGGGGTTAATGGTTCATTATGGTCTAGGGGCTAAAGGAAAGAAAATATACCACACCTGAACCTCGGTCCCATTTGGCTGCCAGACCGGTCCCTACAGGCTCTGGTGGTCTGAGGATCCGTGACGTCATCATGTCTAATGCAGCGGCACGTAGTGGGATATTCCATCGCCAGAGTAAAGGGGGAGACCTGTGAATGGTTACTGCCACAGTACCAAGGATAAGGTAGGTATATTTTATGTATTTAGCCTCTAGACCAAAATGAGCAGTTAACCTATGCAAGGAAGGAGTAGCCCCAATGCAAGGGCTTATTTCTAGATTCTGCGGAGCTCTTCAAATTGGTAACAAAAAGGTACAGTGCATTTGTATACATGGCCATCTGGTACTTTGATATCCAGGTTCAAAAAGTCTGTTATAGCACTTAAGCTGAAATGTATACATGTAGATGGAGTCTTAGACTGCTTTTAGGCTCTCTGATGGAAGCTTCCTAAGGCAAAGAACCTCCATGCTTTCTATTAAGAGAACCCATGACGCATGTTCACACCACTGTTATGGGTATATCCTTACAGGATTATTCATAAAATGATCAAGTCTAAAGAAAAAAAACCAAAACAGAATGGATTCAAAAATCAGTGAGGTTCTCATAAAAGCCATTTTACCTTTTAAAAACCGCGGTCTCTGTTTTTGCATCTACGGTAAGGCTGAGGGTTTCCTTCATGCTTCCATTCATCACTGTTTCTGTCATCTGATCGGAGTTTTCCACTTCCTCTTCTCCATCAGAACTGGCATCCATTGCAACAGTAACTGGAGACATTGAACCAAACTTAGTATTTTCAACACCACACCAGTGATAAAAGTTCACAAGCAATGACCAGCTCTCATTTCAGCATCTTCTGCTAAATTCCTGGACACACGAACATCCGATTCTCTCTCGTCCCCCCCGCCCCGCATCCTACATATTGTGTTAAAAGGAACATGAAATTACAGCCACAGACTAGTACTTTAAAATGCGTCACACTTACTTTCAGTTTGTGCAGAGGTATTAACACTCAGCGGATCCATTGGCTCTGTGCTGGTTTCCATTTCAACCGGAGAATTACTTCTTGCCGTGTCCTTTGAGCTGTCGAAAAAGCAAAATGCCGATTGTGTGGCTGTTATTCTGACCAACTGGCTGCAATAATGTCAGTCAGAACTTCACGTATGCTTCTCTTTTGACAGGTGTCCTTCAATAAAGCTGCAAAACACTTTATTCAACTGTAAAATCCATTTTTGGAGGGACACAAATTCAGATTTCAAATTCTATTCAGCTAAATACAGGGAAAGGGCAGCAGATAACTCTTCCCCAGTTCCTGTGTACCAGTTTTTTTGCAAAGTGCAGCCAATTAGAGAGAAAAAAAAATGGTGGCCGCACGAGTGCGCTCATGCGCAGAGGAATTCTTAAGACGTCACAGAGTCTAAGTCCAGGCCTCCTGAAGAGGCTTGGCGAGAATTTTAAATAAAGCCCAAACACAAACCCCAGACGAAGCATGAAAGTTACGGAGATACAATTTATTTATTACACTGGCACAAAAAAAAAAAAAAAGGGAAAAAACCCACATCCATCATATGATATATTCATATAATTATACGCAATTCCATAACCTTATTCCCCTTGTCACACTAGGAATCCCCAGACAATACTGGCCTGACTGAATAATTGAAGCAAAGCTTATGGGAACTCCGCACCACCGCAGGACAAGCATAAGTACTGAGACCGGACACGTCCTGTTTTCTGATGACTAGAGATACTTCCAGGATTTAACTTATCTAGTAGTCTAGTCGGCTAGCTAGCGAACCTTCCAAGATTTAAGTCTATCCGGCATGAAACCCTGGAAGCCCTTGTTTTCTGCAAACAAATTAAACTAAAAAAAAAGCAGAAAGTGAGGATAAGTCCATTCTCCTGAGGACACCAAGTGAAACTGGCAGGTGGGAGGGGTTATGCCCTGTGGCAGGCTTTGAATTTCTGTTTGCCAAGTGTCAGTCACCTAGAGCCAGCAGCATAACCCTACAGATCAGATTCTATGGACAATAGAGAAAAACACATTTTTTTTTACCACCACTCAGCAGTGCTAGTACCGTGTTTCCCCTAAAATAAGACACTGTCTTATATTTTATTTGGCTCAAAAAAAAACACACTAGGTCTTATTTTCGGGGTAGGTCTTATTTTTCTTTTTAATGTACAACAATCCACACATATTCATGTAGAAAAGTCTACATGTATTCATGTACAAAAATATGGTGATCAGGGCAATCAGGGGTGCCGTAGCTTTACAAGAGCATTTTGCTAACCAATCGCTGGCCAGAATGAGCGAAGTGCACTTTCACTATCGATTCCTCACAGGCGGAGCACATTTGGTTATCACTCCTCCTGTGACAGGAGCCGGCGCTATAGAGGAAGCATCGGCTTATGCGGCTCTGCTCCCTCCAGTGCCGCCTCGCTTCCTCTAGCGCCGGCTTCGTTGGCACCGCTGATTCTCTCCTGCCTCTCCCGCGGCTCTTCAAGTTCACCCTTATGCCACCACCGGCCCTGGGAATTGTCACAACTAGGTCTTATTTTTGGGGTAGGTCTTATATTTTAGAAATTCTCACAAATAGTACTAGGCCTTATATTCGGGGTAGGTCTTATTTTCAGGGAAACAGGGCAACTAGGTAGCCCCCCGATGCTTGGTCCCTATAGCCTACTCACAAAATGAGTGCTTAGAGATGGGAGCAACACAATGTCACAGCTCTGGACCCAGAATGTGCTCCGTATACGCAGGTCTGGAAAGTACCACATTGCAGAGCCCGAATGTCACATTGTAGGCTAGCCACTCAACATCAATCAGGGTCTGGGCATGGCCTTAAAAGCCAGGCTAAGGCCAGACGAATCTAGATAGCTCTGTAGAGAGGAGACCAGCATATCTGCAATATTGAAGGGATCTGGAAAAGCCAAACTTGAAAATGGCTAGCACTGTTTTGCTGACTATTTTTAGAAGAACAGTGAAAGTACGTCCATTCTCCTAGGAGAGCCGCAAGAAAAAAAAAAATACATTGAGGCCGTAGGAGAGGTACACTGGGCTGGCCCACAATTGTGTGTATGTCAGTGTCCAATCCTTCTGTAGTTGGCAGTACAACCCAACAGTCTGAATTTCTGTATCCTTCAATGGACGGCTAAAAAATTGTCTGAGGAAAAATGCTTTTAGAAGGGATTATAGCAGCTGTAAAACTACAATTACCTAACTGAAGATGTGAATTCAGAAAACGAGGCCCAGCCTGTTTCTTTTGTTGACAATGACTCTTCTGTGCTCCACACATCAGATCCCACTGAATCTAAACCGGCTACATGTGCAGTTTCCATTGGGATATCAAAAGTTGCTGGCCAGTTGCTTGCTAAAAGGAACAGAAATACAGTGATAAAATATGTTTGGAGTAAAAGCAAATAACTAGCATAAGGTTTGGCATAGCAGTCTGAATATGTTTTCTTGATGTAAGCAACATTAGGCAGTGGAAGTTTTAAGCCACTGCATTTGTGTCACTAACAATGATAGGGAAGGAAGTGGTTAAACTGCTCTGCAGCATCACTACACTGGCTGTGCGGTGTGCATTTAAGTGTGGCAAGCTCTAGTATACTCTTCAAATAGATTTTTCAGGAATTTGTTTGAGCAAGTAGCCCCAATGTTGACCACTGCTCAGTGCTCCATGCAACCTAAAAAAAGGCACAAAAATAGGAATTTTGACTTAACCGTAATATTCTCCAAGTACAGGACACAGGATATTTATAGTCTTAACCACAGCAACCTTCAGGCCACATAAGTTGCAGGAACAGCCCCCATATAACCCCGCCAGTCTGCCAGCAAGCAACAGCAGATTGAAGCACTTTACACCTGACAATTGCACAAGAGGTCTGAGCAATAACGGAGTTGGGAGAACAATGCTATCCAGTAAACGCTGCACCTATTCCAAGTTAGCAGATTTTATCTGAATCTTGAGTTGTCTGTAAATCCCTTCACCAGGAATCCAGAGAGAACCTCATAAGTTCACCGACGTGCACTTCCTAAAGCCTGTGTAATGTAACATCCTCAGTTTGTCTGCTTCCTGTATCCCACTGAAAGATCCAATACAAAATGATATCTACCACTGACCTGATTTTTATTTGTAGTTGAGGCTTTAGGTATGTGAGAGCAGGGAGCATGCAGTGTGTTAGACTGGAAATAGTTTATTGAACCACAAGATACATGATAGATTGGTGCCATACAGCAACACCTGGAGGAAAAGCTGCAGGTACAATATACTAACCCTTAAGTTCTAATTTTGAGTGAAGTCAAGTTTTAAATCAGTTTTAGATTACCTGACATTTTAAATCCTGATCAAAATGTGGAAGCAATCAAATCACATGTACAGCATGCAACTGTAAATTCATGAAGACTTGCCTTCATTGGCATCCACCTCCATTTTATCTTCTTGGTTGACTGTGCTTGATTCAAATAATCCCTGTTTAACAGAGTCCTCCTCCTCAGAATCTGTGCTCTCTTCGCTGTCTGTGCTTCCTGAGCTGTATAGATATACAACAATAGTTATATTGACAAGGGCCAGGATGCACCAAAACTTCTATTAAAAAAGGTCTACATTTCTCCCCTTCAATAGCCACATTTTAGACAATGCTACATGACTGAATAAGACAAATCTTTATTCCTCCTTTCTAAGCTTTTAGGCACCCTAAATCTAAAAGCCATGCTGACAATTTTCCAACAGTAACATTTTACATTTGTCCAAAAATTATTGTAAGAAGTGCAAAAATTTTGTCTAGCTTTATACAGGTAGGAAGAGGAATCGCCAGCACTCAGTAGAATAATCCAACTTGTCCATTTATTGGACATAGACTTCCATGTCCAATAGATGGACATGTTGGATTATTCTACTGAGTGCTGGTGATTCCTCTTCCTACATTGTGTCTGCACGGTGCCATCCGTGTTCATCACTACAAGCACCATTGTCTACTTAGGCCTGGATTGCTGCAAGGTGTGCGGAGGATTTCCCCTTCAATCCAATTAGCTTTATACAGGGACTCTAAGGCAAAGCACAATAGGAGTGGTCAACCACATTGGCTTATGACAAAATGAAAATCCTTAACTCCAGAAACTGCAAATTGGCTCCCAATTAAAAGCATTACTATGCCAACTTTTCGCAGTTTTGGATACGAGATAAAACAAAGCCTAAAGCACTGCAAAACCATCAGGAAAGAGGTAACTATTAAAATGTTTAATACCTTGATCTTCTTTGAGTGTCCTGGGTGAATGCGAGATTCTTCTCCTCCCAAATATCTTCTTCATCTGACCCGCCATCATCAAACTGCTGTATCCTTTCTTTGCAGCACGCCTCAAACAAAGCGATGTTCGCCTAATTATAAGGAAGCATATTTAGCACTGATCCTTGTAGAGTTGGGAAACAAACTGACTTAGAGGAGTACACAAGTGCTGCCTTGTTTAAGAAAAGCCTGGTTTCAGCTTTCACTCCTACGCTGTCATCAGTATCTAGTGTCTATCATGAGTATTGGCTGAGGATACAACCTACAGTAAAAAAGTCTGCCACCTCAATGTGACTTAGAAATTGCAGACAGACATTCTAGTGGAGGTGTCAGAGACTGCAGACATACTACACGAGCCTGCTTAAGTTCACTCCCATTACAACCAAATTACATATCAGTGACCCCACTTCCACCACTGACTATTTGGGAACCAAAGGCCACAGGGCAAGCAACAAAAGTTCCCGTGTATCCCTTTGGACTGCAGGTTGGCAATAGGGGTGTAAAAACTCATTAGGATTTAAATACCAACACCTTTTCCATGTTAAGTAAAGCAGTTTCACAAAAGCGTGAGGAGTAGAAAAGCCCTCATTTATCAAAGGGGTTCGCAAAAGGGTGAAGAGTTTGCAGAAGGCAGGAGAAGTGAACAATCTAGGACAACATAGCTGATTTGGAAAAATTCTCCAATTCAGCTACAGCTGTCATTTAGAAGGCGAAGGTTTGACCAATGCACTAAAGGAAAGCATCTGCTTGTGCCGTGTATGATAATGTGCTGCGTTGGCAAAAAGTAGCAAAGGTGTGTTTTTTTGGTTTGTTGGTGGCCCATTCAATTAAACGGACTGCCTTCAAAAGGAGTGTTAACACACCGCAGAGGTGCGAGTTGGGTCTAAAACCACCATGAAACTAACCTCGAAGGACAGTGAAAATTTCAGACGCAGATTACAAACTGGTGTAAGTAGTAAGCATTTAGACTTTTCAGCAGGCAATGTGGAAAATCAACTAACACACACACACACACACACATTAAAATGTATGTACCCATATGCAGCGATCCGGTCAATACTCACACTTTCGTTTGCGTTGAGTGTGAAGTTAATGTCTGAGACACGATCAAATGAGACACTGTAGATGACAAAATTGTACGCATAAAAAGAATTAACAGCAGACAGGTAAAACACATTGTGCTTTGCACAGAACAGCCAGCTACAGCTCTGACTCTGATGAAAGCATAGAGGACAAGAAAAACTGAAAAGAGAACAGTTTTTCATAAACATTCATCCAGAGGCAAAGCAGTACTGGTACTGTAAGATCTGGGAAGAACACGGATTAGTTGTGGCATGCACATTGCCATTTAATCACGGGAGTCGTTCATGCTGCTGCACAGCTAAGTGTGGTAGGCAGTACATGTAATCACTTGATGGGCTGAGGGCCCTGTCACACCGTCAAGAGTGCGTTTGGCCACTGGAACGCACCCCGGCCGGCTCACTTTGTTATGGGGCAGAAGGGGGTGTGGTGGTGCATTGAACTCAACACAGCCACACACCCCTGCCTGCGATGCGATCGCCAGCACCCAACGCGTGGCACATTAGTGCCTGTGTTCCAGTCCAGTGCGATCTGCAAAAAATAGTGCATGCAGAATTTTTTTGCAGATCGCACTAGACCGGAATGCAGGCACCGTGCCACGCGTTCGGGTGCTGGCGATCACACCACGGGCGGGAGGCGTGTCACAGCCACGTCCTAAAACAAAGTGAGCCAGCCGGGTTGCGTTCCAGAGGCTGGACGCACTGGAACGCACTCTTGATGGTGTGACTGGGCAGTGAAGGAGTGGAAATACTTTGCTAAAAAAAAATATAAAAATAAAAACAAAAAAAAAACAAAACAAAACCACACCACAACCGCTTCAACTGCACACAATATTATGACAACGCTGACTGGTACAACACCAACAGTGTTATGTTCACGTGTTACTTGGAAAACACTGGCTACCTGTTAGGGACTTAAAAAGGTAATACCCACCACCAACTCCCTCCCAAAAAAAGAAAGAAAAACAAATTCCAAAGGCGGCAAATTGAGTAGTAACACACCCATAATTACAGTTAACAGATTTTGTGTTTGACGAAAGGTTTTGCATGAAAGCCGAATTAACCACAAGCTGATAGGTTATTGTGCTGTGATCGGAACAGAGATTTAAAAACAGAATGAAAGACCAAGTGTGTTTAGAAGAATCACCAGCAGACACCAACAGCAAATTGTTAAACCACAATAAAGGAGTCATACTCACTTCCCAAGGTCATCTTGGTCGGCAAACTTCTCATCGTTGAAGCCAAACTGGTCAATAAAATTGGACGTCATTTGTTGCATCTGATAATCAGAAAAGGCCTGGCAATCCCAGGACCAACAACAGTGGTATAACATGTATTCTAAACTGCTCCTGAAAAGAACTTTGTACAGGATACGTCTACACTAACGGAAGTCTCTCATTACACATGCAATACCTAAAGCACAAATGTTTGTGCAAAACTATGAGAAATATTTAGCATCTTAACAATGGTGAATCATCGTTTACTGGTGAAGATGAGAAACTTTTCATTTTTGGGTAATTTAACCTCCCTGGTGGTCCGATTTCAATTTTTTCCCCTTTCAAATCTTCCGCCAGATCCGCCATCGTGCGACGTGGACGATCGCAAGGGACGGAACCCGGAAGACAGATGCTGGCATCGGCTGGAGGACACAGCGAGGATCATGGAAAAGGTAAGCGACGCACAGTGTAATCCCGAGTGTGGCTTGGGGTTACCGCTTTTGGTAATGAAAATTAACCCGGAGCCACACTCGGGATTACCGCCAGGTAGCTTAAGACATTTTTTTTTTTACATCCAGCCAAAATTTGCGATCATGTTTTTTTTTTTCATAAAGTATGCTGGGTCAGCATGACACAAGTCAGAATTGCCATTCTGACTTGTGTCAGAATGGCAATGTTCAGAGAATGCAAGCTTTGTTTTTTTTACCTTTTAGAATAGCTAGAGTGTTTCCCCTTCAATGTTACAGCCAGCCTAACCAGTCCGGGTAACATTAAATTTAAAGTTGGGATGATGGGGAATTTTCATGACAGGGCACAACTTTTTCACATGTCTGAGCCCTAAAAATTTGATTGACATTTAATTTACTTACGTGAACATTTGAGGTTTGGGCATGTACATTTTTAATATTTTATGATGGCAAAGGGGGGGGGTGTGTGTGTGTGTGTGTGTACATTTGCTTTTAACGCTTTTTTTCTCTAGAGAGGTCTGTAGTAGTGATGCGCCGATACCAGTATTACGGTATCTAATACCGGTTTTTTTTTCCTTCCAGTACTCGCCGATACCGAATACCGATACTGGAAGTCCCATTAAGGAAGACAGGCGGTGTGTAATGAATCGCCACCTGGCTTCCCGATTAGCTGGGCGTCGTGTAAAGACTCGCCTCCCGGTTAGCAGGGAGGCCGTCCCCATGCTTCTCGTCACTAGGTGACAAGAAAGCATAGAGCCGGCTTTCTGGCCAATCAGGAAGCCAGGCGCCGTTTAATGACGCAGCGCCGTCATTCATTACACATTACTCGCCCAAATACTCAGCATCGGCACAGATACTGGTATCGGTGCATCCCTAGTCGGTAGAAAGCTCGGAAGCCCAGGAGCTGACCTTTCCCAGCTGCTGGGTATAGCACTGGACGTTAAGCTGTCACAGACAACTGCTACTTCCAACACTAGCGATGGCAGAGGTCCAGTTACAGTTTTAAAATGGTGGCCGAGACTTAAGTGGATACGTTTTTCCCATTTCCCATCCCATCAATTTCCAATGTAATTTAAATACTTTATCATACAATCTTTACTTATGCATGTGTAAATTAACAAGGCTAGGCCCAGAAGAATACACCTTTTTTTTTTTTTAATTTTTAATGAAAAATAACCTCCTGTAAGTGTTAAACTTACAGAGTAGGTCCGGGGTCAAATATTGTGAAAAGATATCCCCTCAACATCTAATACACATTGCTCTTGTTTTCACAACTTCAGAATACATGTTGATACTTTGGTTATGCCTAACCTGCTGAATGGAAGAATCTTGTGAGAAGCCTGGATCTTTAAACTCTATCTCATCATCGCTGGAGGAGTGGATATGTCGTGTTGTGACCTGCACATGGGAGAGAAAAACAAAAGAAACACATTACTTCCATTTTATTCTGTGCATGCATTGCTAAGCGGCCACAGATCGGAGATGTCTGACAGAATGGGCTCTTTAGGTCTATTGCTACCTACAGAAATACAATTCAAATATTACAAGGAAATGTTTACACATACTTGTTGCAGTTCTTTTTGAAACTTATCTGACATGGCTAAACCATCTGGGATTATAGATGGATTAAGAACACCAATTGCCTTGATCAGCCCATTCCTGAACCATAGGAGGTGAGCAATCATAGGTGCACAGGAAGATCAAAGTACTGTTCGGTGCATGACACAGAATGGAGATAGTCTTGTTGCTCAGGGAAGAGATTAGGACGGAACGAGTTCTCCTCACCTGTCATTTGAGGTCGATATCTGCCAGTTTATAGTAAAATCGATCAGAGAACAGGCAAGAAGGTACAGGTCTGTTTATGCATGGCTGGGACACTGCGGTATTCCAGATCCTTTTACAGGATGACAAATATCCCTGGCTATTCCCAACAAATGCAGCCTTGCAAAGACCCTTGGATTTGAATATCACAGTAGTGCACCACTACTGGGTGGGCACAGAGGTCCCGTAGAACAGCAGGTAGAGAATTATCTGAGCCCTCGTTACACCTGAACGTTTTGTAGCGCGTTCTACGTAGGGCTGCAGCTAACGATTATTTTCATAATCGATTAGTTGGCCGATTATTAAGTTCGATTAATCGGATAAAAAAAAAAAAAAGGCTCCAGTGATGGACTACTAGTTTGTGGTGAGATTGTAGTCCATCACGGGAGCAAGCTTGGCGCGGTAGAAGTAAAAAAAAAAAAAAAGCGTGGTGTGCAATATAGTACATAATACAGCGGCGCAGTGCAGAATACCAGCAGCTATAGAGGAATGTAGCAATACTACATTATACTACATATGTACTATTGCTGGGATTTGTAGTCCTCTGTAGCTGGCGTTACTCTGCATTGCGCTGTATATAATGTATTATTGCTGGGATTTGTAGTCCTCTATAGCTGGTGGTATTCTCCATTGCGCTGTATAATGATTATACTGCGCAATGCAGATTACCACTGACCAGTTATAGAGGAACTACAAATCCCAGCAATAATACATTATACAGCGCAATGGAGAATACCACCAGCTATAGGAGGAACAACAAGTCCCAGCAATAGTACATTATACAGGGTGTTTAATATATTATTGCTGGGATTTGTTGTTCCTCTATAGCTGCTGGTGTTCTACAGTGTGCCGCTTTTTTTTTTTAAACAGGAAACATTAAAACAGGTCCCCCTTACCTGTTTCTGAACCCTTGTAAGTCACCGCGGCGTCGGCGTGCTCTGCGAGCGTGTGTCCGGCTTGTGTGGTGAGCGTGGCATATACGCGGCATGGTCGTGGCGTCCGCAGAGTGCGTAGCGTAACTCGTACCTATTCCACCACAGCACCCCTGTACTCCTGTTCCACAACGGCACCCCCACACAACTATTCCACCATTGCACGCCAATACACCTGTTCCTCGCTGCACCTTCATACACCTGTTCCACACCCATACAACTGTTCCACACAGCACCCCACAAACCTATTCCACTACTGCACCCATACACCTGTTTTACACAGCACCCTTGTACACCTGTTCCACCACAGCACCGGGACGTGAGCAGCGTGTGCTTCAGGCCGCGTGTAGAGCCCCGAACAGGGAAATCAATCGATAGCCGACGAATCGACGATCGAAAACGTTTTCAATCGTCGATTTTAATCGACTAAATCGATTAACTGTTGCAGCTCTAGTTCTACGCGCGACGAACGCTCTACAAAACGCTCAAAAATATAAATCCCATTGTATTCAATGGTCTCGTTCCCACCTTGGCGTATTTCCGCCCGTCCCTAACGCGCTACAAAACGGCCCGCGTTTGTTGCGCGTTTCCATTGGGATACAGCCAAGTAGCCTTCGGAAACGCGCAACTTTTTTACCGCGAATCGCGGTAAAAAACGCGCGACGGTCACGCATATGCAATACGCCTAGGTGTGAACGAGACCTAATGGTGTGTGTGTGGGGGTGTGTGTGTGTGTGTGTGTGTGTGTGTGTACAAACACAGACAAAGCAAATCAAGCTACTCCCCTACCCCCCTCGCTTCCCTCAACCCCCATGGAGGGGCTGAGTGACACCATGACTTATATGGTGTCGCTGGTAATGGCCATCAGTTTCAAAAACGGACTCCCTCAGCCCTTCACATCTAGGCATTTTTGAGCAGTTCGAAAAGCGCTTTAAACTGCCCAACACAAGAAATCCCATGATTTTCAATGGCCCTGGTTCACACCTGAGCAGAAAAACACCGGACGCCTGAAAAGATACAGGAGCTTCTTTGGGGAGTTAAAAGCGCTTTTCCTCCCCATAGACTTCATTGGAAATGCCCCAACGCGCAACAGAAGCATGTTGCACATTTTTGTGAGCGTTTTTGCGCGTTTATATGCATGTTCTTCCATGGGCCACAATGGTTTATGAGCTGCCAATCAAAACGCATGCAAAACACGCATAAATGTGCAAATAACCGCATGCTGCTAATGCGCGTACAAACGTGCCAAAACTGTGCCGCCTAGGTGTAAACCAAGACTAAAACTGTAGCGTGGACAGAATCCAAACATGGCTCTACACATTTATCAAGGTACATGGGGTATATGGCTTTTTAGTGCTAACCGAGTACCTCTAGGGTGAACTTCCATGTTAAAGCCCACTATGGCTTTTACAGCTGGAGAAACTGCAAATAAATTATCCAACAGGCTCCTACTGTATATCAAGTTACAGAAAACCTAATCTTCCCATTAAAAGGTTAATGTACGTCTGAGAAGTACCTACCCACTTTGGCTGCAGGCATTCTTTACATCAGAATAGATCAGCCGCACGCAGTGTACCTCATTGTCTGGCCTATCAGGTCAACAATTCTTTTTTTATTGCAGAACTGGCCAAGCCTGAGAAACTAGTTCTCACAGTAACGTCAGCAGAAGTGCCCACATTCACATAAAAATAGTAGCAAGAAGTAAGGCTGCTAGACTGACAAAAACACTGCACTAGTTCTGTCAAACATCCCAAGCAACTAGTTTCTTAAAGAACTGACGAGTTTCATTATCTGCTTAGGTGTGGATGTGTGGTGTGTGCCCAGATAGCAAGGATAACTTGCCACAAACTTGTGTCAGGGTTCAATTGTAGTTCTTGTTAACTTGCTGCACACATTCCTGGCAAGTTGTAGACTTGCAGAACACTTGCAGCACAAGTTCTAGTTGACACTTTTTAAATTTGTAGCAAATTTGCTTGGCAAGTCTACAGCAAGAGTCCTGCAGGTCTTAGCAAGAGCTCTGCAAGCTCGCTGGTCTGGAGACTTGCAATGCAATAGTTTAGCAAGTCATTTTCAAACTTGCAGCTCAATTGCTTGATATCTGGGAGTGTGTGTTTACATTTGAAGCTCATTTAAATGCCTAACAATATTAGTTTACATAACAAATTTACTCTTTGCCACTGTCACAGGCCATTTACACTGCAGTATCCATTCCTCATAGATAAACAGAGCTGTAAAGTACAGCTCAGTGCTGCAGTGAGGTCAGGTGGTGAATCCCTACCTTTAACTGTACAATTTCACAAGGTTCAGTAAAACAGTGTCATTGTATTATAGTAATGTATGAACCGGGAATGATTAGGCCTTGTTCACACCAAATGCAGAGCAGATCTGCATGAGTTTCTGCACATGCAGTGCAGTGGGTTGTGCTGCGTTTTTAATGCGTTCTGAGCCGGTTTTGGTAAAAATAAATACGTTTAAAATGGGCTTTCAGCGCGTTCCAGGCGTTTGCATTCGTTTATGCGATTGCATGCGTTCCAGAGCAGGTAAAATAGGACCTGCTGCAGTTTTTTTAAATGCTCTGGACCTGCACGCTGCGATGTGAACTGGAGCTAAAAATACCATTGGAATACCTTGGACGCAGTTTTGCTCCGGCCTGTAACTGCTCTGCACCTGCTCCGCGCTTGGTGTGAAGGACTTAAAATGTTATATGGATTCAAATTAAACCTGGTTAAAACCAAGACTGTTGACCATTCGTAAATATACCTAGACATGACACGTTTACACATGGCATCAATCATAAAATCAATTGCAGAACATGTTTCAGCAGTGTATGTGCATGATGCAGGGCTCAATGCAGGCTTAAGCACGATGATGAACCAGATACACACAGCAGAAACCTACTAGATCTACAGTGTTCCTCTTGTTTGTTTCGCCTAAGGAACTTGTGCAGAAAGACTCCCATTTTTCCTGAGCTTCAGTTGGCAATTCTGCAATTAAAACACAAAACATTGATAAACCCAAACATTTTATAGCACCAGCCCACCAAAAAGATCTAGTTTCTAGAAGATGGAGGACTAAACTGCCTTACATTTTTTTTCTGATATTTTAATGTGAGATATTTGCGCTTAGTGCTGGTTCTGCACAGTTATGGCCGTTATGGGGGAAGAAAATCTATTTTGAGCTTTAATATTTAAAATATTGCAGATGCAACAGGAGGTAGCTAAACATGCAAAATATGGGCTGGTGCACACAGTTCTAAAAGTGAATAGAAGGCTGCTTGGGTATGCAAGTCATAAGGAGTCAGTGATGTGCCCAGTAAATCCAGATCAAGACCTAAAATATCCTTTATTAATGGACTGACCCTTTAATATAATTTGACATTTCATGAGGCCCAAAGAACGGGCAACCAGCTATTCAGACACCAAGACTCATACTTGAGATGCAGTAAACAGGAATGGTGACTTCAAACATCGCAACTTGTCTTTTCTTAGCTGCAGAGAAATTTTGGGCCAAATCAAGGGAATTGGTAGAGACCACTCCAGATGGTTGGTACTGTTGGCTTGCAACACTAGCTACCCAGCTTCAATTCCAAGCAGATGTTTTATCCGCTTACAGTTTAAATGTCTGCTTCAGGCTGCCTAAGTGCTCAGGTATTAAAACAAATTAAATATCCAAGAATACATTTTTAGGCCGTTAACTAGCATTTACAGCCATAGACAAAATTTTGTTGGTAACCATTCACAGAAATGTAAAGCACTGCACCGCAGCTTTAATTTAAAATTAAACAAATCTCTTTGCAAAATCAATGTTTATTCCAGATTTAATTAAAACCAAAATTTCCTTTTGATGCAAAAGAATATTTTAAAGAAATTAAAATTGCAAGGAGAGAAATGAGACCCTTACTGTAATATTTTGTTGCACAACCTTAAGGGCCTGTTCACATGATTATCAGGTCCTGATCAGGTGCGGTGCTATGTGTTTTACCGCGTTTTTTGCTGGAATGGGGCTGTCAGTATGTTAGCTGCAGTGCGTTTGACGTGTTTTGCGTTTCCGGACAAAATGTGACATGCAGTATTTTTCTGTCGTAACCTGAACGGACTGCGCACGTGAGAACTGTAGCCCATAAAACACATAGGGATACATATTTAGTGCAGGAGCGTACGGATCAGGTCAGCACAGAAAACGGACGTCGTGTGAACAGGCCCTAAAGACCGGTCACTGCAAACAAGCACCTACCAACAGCTAGTTTGACCCACTTCATGAGCTTCACACTGCATGTTTCGGCTCTTTTTCATAGATGTCCAATAGGATTTAAGATCAGGGCTCATAGAAGGCTTCTTCACAATAAGTTTTTTTTTGCTAGCCATTCTTGAGTGCTTTCAGCTGTGTGTTTTGGGTCTTTATCCTGTTGGAGGGCCCATAATCTGTGGCAAACTGCTATCTGACACTGGGCAGGATATGTCTCTCTCCAGAATTCCTCAATTATCTTGAGATTTCATTGTGAACTGCACAGAGGCAAGGCACCCTGTGCCAGATGTAGCAAAGCAGCCCCAAAACAAAGCGCGCCACCTTTGAAATGCCAGTGTGGTCTCATCTGTCCAAGGGGCAATCTCCCTGAAGCACTGTGGCATGTTGAAGTGCATTTTAGAAAATGCCATTCTAGCTTTTTTTTTTTTTTTAAAGGTCTTTCGACAACATAGTCTTCTTCCTTTAAACTCACTGTCGATCAACACTAATGTAACCTTGACTTTCAGTTTGCATCTCTGTCTACCATTTGCACTATACTTCTGTTCAATCTAGGGTCGATTTTCCTCTTGTGGCCATGTCCAGGGAGGTTGGCTACACTCCCTTGGAACTTGAAGAATTATCACCACAAATTAAACATGTTTGAATCCCCCGGGTGACCCAGTGCATGCAAGCACTTTAGGGCTGCAACAACTTAAATCGACATAATCGATTATTGAAAAAGTTGTCAGTTGGCCCTGTTCACGTCTCCACACACGCTGCACCTCCTCCCCACCTCACGCTCGCCGCTGCCAGACCCGCCCACATCCACGCTGCACCTCCTCCTCGCCTCACACTCACCGTCCGCCCCCCATTTCCACAGGGACGCGGAGAGACGTAGTAAGGAGGAGCAGGTGTGAGGGGGATGACAGCAGCCGATACAGTCCCGATCTCAGAAGCAAGTTGCTGGAAGACTGCTCAGGTAAGACTGCATCTCCCCCCATATGGTGCTCTATAATGTATTGCTGGGATTTGTAGTCCTCTATAGCTGATGGTATAATATACAGTACAGCACAATGTACCATCAGCTATAGACGACTACAAATCCCAGCAATAGTACATTATAGCTGGTGGTATTCTGCATTGCGCTGTATAATGCATTATTGCTGGGATTTGTAGTCCTCTATAGCTGATGGTATAATATACAGTACAGCACAATGTACCATCAGCTATAGACGACTACAAATCCCAGCAATAGTACATTATAGCTGGTGGTATTCTGCATTGCGCTGTATAATGCATTATTGCTGGGATTTGTAGTCCTCTGTAGTCGGTGCCATTCTGCATTGATTGCTGTATAAGTTTACACTTTCCATTTCACTATATTGCACACCACACTTTTTAATTTTTTTTACTTCCACCGCTCCAAGCTTCTCCTGTGATGGACTAAAATCTCAATACAAACTAGTAGTCCATCACTGGAGCCATTTTTTAAAATTTATTTTATTGTTTATCCGATTAACCGAACGTAATAAATCGGCTAACTAATCGATTTTGAAAATAATCGTTAGCTGCAGCTCTAAAAGCACTTGGTCCCATTCAGATCTGTGCATTAAAAACATTTGTATTTCTATTTGCACTGGCTATAGCTCCACCCAAGGTTGAAGCCCAATTCATGAGTGTTGCAGCTAGCACTGAAGCCTATACCCCCTCTCCTCTGTGTGCTGTGTGTCCTGGATTATGTGAACACAGACAGTGAACACAGACACATTACTTAGCGATTGTGAACAGGCAACATATTCATGAGACAATTGCTTTTTAATCTCAATCACTTTCCAGAAGGAATGAAATCACCATTACAATGAGCTGTAAGGGTACCAACAAATTTGTCCACAGCTGTAAATATATATTCATGTTGTAAGAGCATAATTTGGCAACGCCTTCAAAACATTGCTCAGTACATTTCATGTTTTAGGTGGAGTGTACCTGCAAAATGCAAATGTCTAAACGAGTAAAGGACAGTAATTATTACTTTTCCATGTAACATACCTTTAATAAGCTGATGTGCTAGTGTACTGTTTGGCCCCTTTTCAATGCTGTGAACTATGCAGTTTGCGATTCTTGTCAAGTGCCCCATGTATCCACACCGTCGCCCTCCTTCAGACCTAAAGCACATAATGTTTGAATTACACTTTATATTGACCAATGTAAATGAACCTTCTAAAAGTACAGCTTTACTAACTTTCAGGCAAATCAATGGCAAAGGGTGCCATAAGTTTACAAGCTGAAAACATGGAAACCAAAATTAACAAACTTACTGTCTTTTTTCATTCAAGGCCCATGCTTCAAGTATTCGGTCTATTAAGTGGCATTTCAAAAAGAGCTGCAAAAAACAAACAGAAACATTGCATTGATCATTTTGTACCAGCTGTTGACAATATGTGAAGAGAGGTGAAAAGAACCTACATGTCTTAATAAGATATGCTCTCCTGCAGAGTTCTGTTCGCTGATCAAGCCGTCTGTACTGTCACCAGGACTAGCAAGAATCAAGGCAATGCAGATTTCCACTTGCGTATGAAGGAAATTGTTCCATGTGTATTTGAAAAACATATCCTGCAGAAAAGAATAAAATAGTTTCAGTGGCTTACGAGGGTGAACATCAATGTCGCTGAAACATGTTGTACCATCCAAAGTGTCTGCACTTTTTAGCCTTTATCTGCCACCTCCTGGTAAACACTAAAGTGGCTGTTTCTACATGAAAGTGCAGCCTGCAAAAATACTTACCTGCCCTGCCACTTATCTTTCACTCGGGTGCAGAGGTTAGCTGGCTAAAACATCTCCAACATATGACACTTTCAGAAGTGTTAGAGGCATGGTACCCACTGAAGTCTGCCATCTGCAGCCCCTATGCTACAGCTCGCTGTATACTGAGACCGCTGCAGCCAGGATATATCCCAACATTACTGTTGAGATCTACCCAGCTGCGTGAGCGACAGTGGGCTCTGCCAATCTAGAGGCAGAGCCAGCTGTACCCACCCCCTCCATTCAGCGCTGGAGGATCGAAGATGGGGGAATCCCTGCGGTGAGCTGTGACCGACAGTCATGGCTTTCTGCAGGGAGATTATCGAGAAGTGAGCGAGCGACGGTATGCGTTCGCTCACTTACCGATCTATTGAGACGACGTGCAACAGTTTTATTGCCACATGTCGGCTCAAACTATGAGGATGAGTGATTTTCAGCATGATCCTTTATAGACAGAGTGTTAACACCCAGAGAGCACCCTGTCTGCAATAGGATAATGCGCAAACATTTAGCTTACAGTTGCTAATAAAGATCAAGCCAAGAACTAGATCCCTTCATCAGGTACAGATGGAAGAGCATTTTAATATTTTCATCACACACCAATGACAGGCACTTACCAGAATAACTCCTATAGTGTTTAGCTCAATGAACTCTAGATTGATGCTGTGCGTATTGGTCTGTAGTAAACTTGCTATTAATCTGATAACATGTAACCGAGTATTCCCTACAGGAGGATCTAGGACTCCCCATGTTGTCTTCATGACATCAGTCTTAAAAGAAAAAAAAGAAAAAGCATATAATAAATTAATTTGCACACTATTTTTGTGCACAACTGGCAGTTAAAGTGAAGCACAATAGGTATAATCAAGCATGCCAAGTGAGCTAATTTAAATTTGAGTTGATGGGACAACAGGGAGCTTCAAGCCGTTTTAATGAAAAGTGCACTGTACATAAAAAAACAAAAAAATGTTAATTTTTTTTATTGGACAAGTGGATGCTCAAGAATTTAAAGCAGTGGTTCTCAACCTGTGTAACCTCAGGATCCACATTTGTCCTTGGTTATTAAGTCCGCCCCAAGTTGCACTGCAATGGAACGCAAGGCATTAGTGCACCCTGCATTTTGGTGTGGGCGTATGATCTGTGGGTGGGAGGTGCATTTGGGGTACCATTCAAATGAATGGCGACAACACACCTCCCACACCAGAATGCATGGTAGGTGTGATTGCGTGATACAGTGCGTTAATCGTACAGTACTATGCAATTAACGCATTGTACTAGTGGGAACGTGCCCTCAAAACACTGACATGCATACACATTCTCGGCAAAAAAAAAATTAAATCTTTTTTTGTTGTTGAAAGGTCTACCCTGTCTCCCCATCTTACAAGAACTGAAGTGGATGTAGAGCTGCAGCTAACGATTATTTTCAAAATCAATTAGTTAGCCGATTATTAAGTTCGATTAATTGGTTAAAAAATAAAATAAATTTTAAAAAATGGCTCCAGTGATGGACTGGAGCAAGCTTGGAGCAGTGGAAGTAAAAAAAAGGAATAAAAATGTGTAGTGTGCAATATAGTGAAATTAAAAGTGTCAAATTATACAGCAATAAATGCAGAATGGCACCGGCTATAGAGAACTACAAAACCCAGCAATAGTACATTATACAGCACAATGCGGAATACCACCAGCTATAGAAGACTACAAAACCCAGCAATAGTACATTATACAGCGCAATGCAGAATACCACCAGCTATAGATGAATACAACAAATCCCAGCAATTGTACATTATAATTGGGCGGGCAGTGAGCGTGAGGTGGGGAGGAGGTGCGGCGTGTGGATGCGCGGATCTGGCAGCGGCGAGCGTGAGGTGGGGAGGAGGTGTGGCGCGCAGCGTGTGTGGAGCCGTGAACAGGGCCGACCAATCGGAAGCCGATTAATCGATGATTGAAAAAGTTGACAACTTTTTCAATAATCGATTATGTCGATTAGCCTGGGGTCCAGTGTGGGCTTCTGTGCCATGACTGAGCTCCATACATATGTGCATTGCTTGTACATCTCCCTTGTGCACCCTTGTTGAGGTGCTGGGAGCCAGAATGTGGTGTCACTCCAGTTCAGGCACACGTGAGGAAGCTGACACTCTCGTCTCAAGCCGACACTCTGCGCCAGGCAGCATATTTTGAATGGCTGCTTGTAGCGAGAATTGAATGCTGCTCTAGGGGGAGGCAGAGGAGCCTCTAACCTAGAAAAATGGAAGCCATGCGGCGACCCACTGAACACAGGGTCACGACCCATAAGTTGAGAACCAAGGATTTAAAGTAGCAGAGTCAAAATGTGACACTAAAACACCGAGTAACCATGGTAGCAAATTACAATCAACCTTAGACATTGTGTGAACAGGCACAAGTTCAACTATTCTTGACTGAATCTCACCCTTACAGCTTGATCATACCATGTCCATTATGCTACATTTTTGTACACCACTGCCCATGTATGGTACAGGGCACATCAAAAATTATTGGTTTTCCATGTGCCTTCTGCAGAAAAACACAGCTTAGCAAACATGGTGAGAACAAGCACTTTAAAGATTGTTTTCTCTGAACTACCACAATTTCATATCATTACTGAGTGAGCTTTCCAGGATAAAGCCCCCAAAAAGGTTACTGATTATTAGCTTCAATGAACATGACTCCGTGATATAAAAAAAGATCAAGGGTGATTCCAGTTTCATACTTAGATTATAGTAAGCAAGTTCATTTACTTTTGGAGGGTCCAGGAGTAGCTGGTGAAAGGACGGAAGTCTTTCCTGAATAGCAGTCAAGACTGTTTTGTTAACTGAAAATGCAGAGTGATTGAGACCAGGTGGACACAGGTCAATATGACCCTCAAAACTGTAAAATAAAAAAAAAACACAAAAAAGGTATTAAATTAGCATAAATATATAGAAGGAAAATTGCAAACAAAGTCCAAGACTCTGAAATTAGCGGCGGACTTTAAAAAGTACTTTGCAACATAAAAAAGGTACTCGGGATAACCAGATCTGTAGGGAAAAGAATATCACTATCCAAAGTAATTACAGCAAATATTTAGGAACGGCTCATTTTCAGTACAACCAACCCATCTTCTTTAGGAAGGTCAGTGCCACAAGTGTATGGAAACGAGAGCTTAGATTCTACTTACGCTGGCCGCCTTGTTTCTAGCAGAGTCAGCAATATTTGGATAGCACTGACAATTGCAGATTCATTCCTCTCTTTCAAAAATATATTTGATAGTAGTTGCTCTAAAATTTCTTGCCTAAATAAAATAAAAAATTGTAAGCAATTGAAGGATTCTGCATCTGTGCTAAAGCCAGAACTTACGATTCAACACATTGATCACCACATCAAATTGTGGAATGCATAACACTGCTAACGCAAACCCACAATGTTAGTGACAGACAGGACAGCAGACATAGTAACTATGTGCAGATTGGGCTTCTGCATCTCTAGTGACACTCTGGGAACGGATTAGGTTTTGCCCACAAGACAACAATCCAAGGAGTAATTTCAGGCCATCTGTTTCCAGCCAAATATGAATCATCAGCTTTGTGTGTATGAACTGCTACAGACTGGCATTGCATGCAGTTAAGACACCCAGATATTCCATAAAGGTCAAGGTCCAACATAAAACATTAACTAAATGAAAGTGAAAACATAAAAAGGACAGTGAAGTCAAGGCATTGGAATAAAGACATGGCATAAATCACAATAGAAAATCAGTGTGCACATTAAAAACATTCACAAGTGAAAATACATTGGGGGGGATTTATCATAGCAGTTGTGAGTGTTTGAACTTGCACCAGATTATGCTGCTAGTGTAATGTTGTTCAGAAAAAAGGTTTAACCCCTTCATGACTGAGGCCCTTTTTTCAATTTTTGATTCAGGAAAGAAGCTTTGTAACTTCAGGCAAACAGCTTAACGGTCGCTTCTGGAAGTGGTCATGGGGACTTAAAGTTGTGATTGTTTTCTTAAGTAATGCTCCAGTTTTACAGCCCAGAACAAGGGCAGATAAAAACAGGTGCAAAACACGTGTAATCTCAGGTCAAAACAGTGGCACATGTTAAAAGACAGATTTGTACATTAAAAAAAATTATCTAAGAGGCTAAAACTGTTGCAATTGCTTTGATAAATTCCCCCCATTGTGAAGTTACCTAAAGTTATCCTTTTAGAAATCAGCCACATCATATTGTACTCTCCCATTTCAAAAGATGCAGCCCAGGTAATGGAGTTGCTGCAAAGGCTCGGTAATCTTGGGACATACGACTCATGACTCCGCAGTCTTAACAGGTAAATATTATGAGGGGAAATTTGGCTCAAGGTAACCAATCCACTTCTATATTTCACATTCAAAGCCTAACTGAGCTTAAAGGGTTATTAAACCCTCATTGGTTTTGCATATATCTACTGATAGCAAAGCAGTAGATATATGCAAAATTATTGAATACGTTTTTTTCTTTAAGGGTTAATACCTGCGTCTCTCCCGCGCGCTCCTGTCCGAACATCTGAAAATTTCTCGGGCGGCCGCAAAGGATCTTGGGGGAGGGTGTATGCGCAGTTCAGATGTTCAGCTAGCAGCATGCACCCGCCCAGACCCCGTAGGACGGCAGAGGAGTCAGTGCTGGATCGGAGACCCGCACCAGCGCTGGAGGGACAGCCAAAAACTACAGGAAAGAAGATGATCAGATCAAGAGGCATCATTTAAGGTACGCCCTTACATTAGATTTAAGTGAATCTGGTTTTGGCATTTCCCCTATGTTTTTCTGCCGAGAGAGCAATGTAGAGGCGCTGATCTCACTGAAGTTTCATCCTTCAAGGTACTCTTTGGGCCATGGTCACATGAAAATGCAGGTCTTGACAATCCCAGGAGCCAGGTAGCCAATGCTCCTTAAAAAAATTACTCAGCTTAGGTAACATTAAAATCGATTTCCCAAAACAATGCTAAGTGACTGTTCTTTCATGCCTCAAAATAGCTTCTGCTTCATCAACAATGATCATTCCCCATTTGGACAAGCATCCAACAAATATACAAAAAGCACAATGTTCTTTTATAATTACAACATACAGAGCTTAAAGACCTACTTTTCTAACGTGGCCAGGAGAGGGTCTGGTTCTGGGCTGTTCTGCACTTGTAACAACTGATCCCTGCTCAGGCGTATAATCTCACAAAGGGACTGTGATGCATTAGAATGCCTCTGTGAAGAGAGAAAAGAACAGTTACATATATTCCTTTAGATCCTCAAACAAATGCCGGAGATAACATTATTGCACCTTTAAAAAAAAAAGTTTTCTGGAAGGGAGTATAATTAAGAGTCATGATGGTGCAGCTGCACAGCAGCCAGCTCTATAACAAAACCTTCCCAGCAGCCAGCTTCCAATTACAACAGTTCTGAAGTTTACAGAATGCATTTGCAACCTGCACTGTATACAGAAACGTGGACATAGAGAGAAGGATATACGTGTCCTATTTCATTTGGCATTGAATTGAACATTGTTAATTGTATTTCATCACAAATGTAGCCAAAGCCTTTTTTTTTTAAATTAAAACTGAAAACTGCTCACTGAGCTAATGATTGTTAGATCGAGATTGTGGAGCAGTCCGTGCGACAGGCGCACACACTGACCCCAGTCAGACCTATGCAGTCCGTGGGACAGGCGCACACACTGACCCCAGTCAGACCTATGCAGTCCGTGGGACAGGCGCACACACTGACCCCAGTCAGACCTATGCAGTCCGTGGGACAGGCGCACACACTGACCCCAGTCAGACCTATGCAGTCCGTGGGACAGGCGCACACACTGACCCCAGTCAGACCTATGCAG